GGAGGGGGGAGGCTGGGAAGGGATGTGAAGGGTAAACAAAAGGAGGAGGCTGCAATGCTTGGTAAGAAATGTACACATTATCCTGCCCATGTAATTGTAACCCCTCTGTACAGTATCTTCACAAATAAAATAAAATAAAATAAAATAAATTAGGCAATAATCACTAAAGCATTTCATGGAGGTTGCAAAGAAATAGGTAATAGTAAGAACTATATTTTCATTTCCTAGTGAAGAATGTATTTTGTTAAATTTATTTGTATTATCTTTAAGTACTTGTACAAAAAAGGGTTTAATTCAACATGTCAATTTTTGAGTACATACAATACTGTGTATGTGTCTGTCTGTCTGTCTGTCTGTGTCTGTGTCTGTGTGTGTCAGTACTGGGACTAGAACTCAGGACCTGAGTGCTTTCCCTTAGGTTATTCATTCAAAGCTAGAGCTAGAGCTCTACCATTTGAACTATAGGCACTGGTTAATTGAAGATAAGAGTCTCAAGACTTTCTTATCTGGGTAGACTTTCACAGTGATCTCAGATCTCAGCCTCCTGCATAGCTAGGATTGCAGAGTTGAGCGTCCAGTCCTCTCTTTCCTGCCTGCCATCACTCTTCAAATGAGCCCTGAGAAAGTCCACAATTCACCTCTCCACGCAGGCCACCCATCCCCTCTCTCCAGGCTGGAGGAGAGCTGAGGAGACAGGACACTGAATAAAGGCCCCACTCATTTCTGCTTCCCACCTCTCATCCCTGGCTTGGTGGTAGCATAGTTGAATTTTTTGCCTTCTGCCATTTATGTCTGTGAGGACATGGGTGGGTGAGCATGGATGTGTGCCACTGTGTCTGGCTCTAGATGAGTGTGTGTATCCGTGTTGTATACATGTGTGTACGAGATCATGTATATGTAATTCCATAGGTGTGTATGAAAATGTGAGCCTGTGGGTGTCTATGTCTGTGTCTGCACTTAGGAGCTTCTGACCCCCATGTGGAGCTCAGGTTCTGCTTTTCCTTTCTTTTGTTCATTGTTGGCTTGCATGGATTTGAGACAGAATCTCTTGAACTTGGTGTCCTCCTGCCTCAGGCTACCCACTGAAGGAATGAGAGGCCTAGACAAGAACAACTGGTTTGCAGTTCATTCTCTAGACACAATGACCAGGGACTTGATCTCTACAAGAGTGCAGTGAAAATGGCTGACACCAGCTCTCAGGATTCTCAAGCATTTGATGGACACAGGGTCCTATTCAGTGTATGACATCCTCAAGCAGGAGCTGGTAGAAACAGTAGGAGTAAGTGGGGTGACTAGGGGAGGCAGGCAAGCAAGGCACTTGTACAGGGAGAGACATTTAAACTGGAAAGAGGGGTCGGGTGTGAACCCAATAAATGTGTCTTCATAACCATGACTTTAACTGGACAGAGGACAGAGGTTGGTTGGTTATCTATGTCGAGTGTGTCTAGTTTTGCTCCTGACCTGCTGCAGGACCCAGCCAGCACCCAGGGGACATTTGCAGAGGTCTGGGCTGAGGCTGAGACTCAGAAGAGGGGACCTCCATTGATGATGTCATCTCCAGAGAGGGAGATGGACCAGGGAGGAGTTGTGATACTGGTTACCCGCACCCACATTGCTGTGCGGCTGGGCCAGCTCAGCTGTATGGAAAGCTGAGGGGCAGCAGGATGTTCTCCTGCTGTTGCCCGCTATTCCACAGAACAGCGCCACAGAGCAAGTTTGATATAGCTCACAGGCGCTGAGTCATCCCTTGTCCTGGTCGCCTGAGCAGAACTCCACCATGCATCCCACGGGTGAATCAAGGAGGAGGGAGGGTGCGGAGGGAGGGTGAGTCCCCTCACCTACTACCTTCTGGCGGCCTCAGATCCCATGCGTGTTTGACATTCTTGAGTGGGGTGTGTATACATGAGTGTGTGTGTGTATGTGTGTGTATATGTGTGTGCCCCAGGTTATTTTCATTGTATGGCCCAGAGACATTTGCTGTTTTGCTGCTGTTTCCATGTTTGAACTGTGTCTCATTTCTTCACCCAGTTTGGGTGGGTTTTAGCCCCCACCCTTTGTGATCCCTGCAAAGCAGGATACCTGCAGGGAGCCAAAGTGAGAAGCTAGTAGACCACTTAGTGCCTGCCCTGCTCAACATACCGCACTTTCATGACTGCCCATCACGTATTGAAGCTGCTGTTCAATAGGTAAGCGCCACCTCTGATCCTCAGGACAGGCCCACTGGCTAGGCCTTGACATATGCTGCACCGATGCAGATCTGCTTAGATCCTGGATACTGGCATGCTAGGAGCAACATCCTCACTGCCTGAGGCTGGAGCGGTGGGATGGGTCCTGAACAGGTCTGTCCACATTATGACCTTACACACTAGGGAGTGCAGGGATGTGGGCGGAGCTGGGAGAAGCCCCTTCTCTCATGAAGACCTCTCTCTACATCGAGGCCTCCTATGAAGAAGATCTCAAGAAAAGAATTTTCCAAATTCACAATGGTGGTATATGTTCCATATGGGTGTCCTGACCTACCTGAATTCACTAGGGAGCCTAAGGGAAACACTGAGAGAGCCGGTGCCCCTTCAGGTGTGGGGGAAGAAGCTAGTGGGCTCTTCATCTTGTGTGGGGATGGAACCACACAGTGAAAAGAACAGGGAAATCCTTGTCATCCTGAGCTCCATCCTGTGATCAGAGAAACCACTGGGATTATAGATGTCATGTGCAGACACAGTGCCTGTGGCATTCTCATGGTGTCCCCTAGATATAGCCGTTTCCATGACGATGAGAAGGCAGACATGCAGGAGCACCTGCAGCAGTGAATGTGCCTGGGGGAGAAGGAAGGCATGTGTCTTAAGGGCATGTACAGTGGAGAGCTGGCTTTGGGGAGGCCTGGGCAAAGGGAAATGGCAGCCACTCCTGAGGGAGGGCTTGAGTCCAGGTAGAAATGTGTCCATGCAGGGAGCTAGTTTGGCTTGTTCTGTGCCTGAGCAGGGTGGAAGAAACCTCTGGCACCATGACCAGCCAGTCCCATATGCCTTCCCTGGGAAACCTCAGGACTACACAGACCAGGGAGGCCTACTCTGCTCCATCATGGACAATCCCCTGAGATTCCAGGGGCCTCAGTGATTGCTAAAGGGCCAGGATGTGCTGTTTGGGTTGAGTCAGGACTAGACTGTTCACACCTGGCTCAAGACATAGAGGCCACTAGAGGCTGCCCAAGTGAGGAGATTCTGGGTTCTGGAGATAACAAGCAACAGGACAAAGCACTCCAAAGATGACTCGGGAGCATGCCCAGGGATAGCAGGTGGTGGGTGTGGGTGGGGTGGTTTCATCTGTGATGTAGGTCTAGTCGCATCCCTCGTGTAGACAATGTGTGTAGTGCAGCCAGGTGACCAGGCCCGTTATGGGCTATGGGCATGAGCAGGCCCAGGAGCCCAATCCATACACCTGTGTTTGAGGGGGTGTGAAAGGAGGATAGGCCCAGCCTCTGACTCTGCTGCTTCTCCCTCTGCACCTAGAGCCTTCTCCTTCATACTGGGCTCCTGGATGAGGGAGTACCCTGAAGACTTCACTGGAGCACCGGACACGTCCTGCCTGCAACACCTGGTAACATATCTACACCTCAATATGCCTGGCTCTGTTGAGGAGCAGCAGGCCCGCCTTCTGCTCAGCCAGCTGGAGCACATGCTTCTCAAGAAGCCAGAGCTGGAGGGTGAGTAGCATGGGCTGGCAAAGGAGAGAACAGGTGTGGGATTCCAAGCTTTGTCCACCTGAAGGCAGCTCCCATGCTACCATGGGGCCATCAACAGGACAGCCAGGGAACCTGGATGCCTTGGCATGAAACCTGTCCTGGCAGGGCTTCCTGGGGTGGAGTCCAGGGACTAGGGCTTCTCAGCAGGCAGGGGTCTCGTGGCCGTAGGAATGACTGAGGGGAAGGCAGTGCTGGAGGGGATCTTTTCTTGCAGCTGTTCCACCAACTGCCAGGCTTTATGAGAAAACCACTATACAAACACTGGATCCAACACCCTGCGTAGAAGCAGTACTACCATGTCAGTCAGAGCTGGAACTAGCTGTAGCCTCAGAGGCCCCCTCAGCTCCAGGAGCTGCAGTGGAGCTCCAACAAGAACCCCATTTAGACGGATGTTTTGACTCAACTCCATCAACTTTGATCGAAAAGATCAATCCACCTGCAGGTCAGCCAATGGCCCACAGCCTTGCACCAACTCCAGCACCAAGTCTGGATCTTGCCCTGCAATACTCAAGTCTTGTTCTAGTTCTATCAAATGAAGAAAGAGTGGCTGATCCCTCAGTGCCAGGGGCACTTAGCCCAGTGGTAGCAATGGCTCTAGAGCCAGCCATTGATGCACCAATACATGCCAGTGATGAGGGTATGCCAGTGCCCACTCCAGAAGCCCAGCTGCCTGAAGGCCAGTGTGACCCAATTCTGCACCCCGCCCAAGAAGGAGAAGCATCTGCAGTTCAACCAGAGCCCTCCAAACCTATTGTAGTGAGCAGCTCAGGGCCAGAGCTAGAGGCTCCAGGAGATGAAAGCCTGGAGTCTGTTCTCGGTCCATCTGGGGAGCAAGTAGAGTCTCTAGGTCCATCTGGGGAGCAAGTGGAGTCTCTCGGTTCATCTGGGGAGCAAGTGGAGTCTCTCGGTCCATCTGGGGAGCAAGTGGAGTCTCTCAGTTCATCTGGGGAGCAAGGAGAGTCTCTGGGTCCATCTGGGGAGCAAGTGGAGACTCTCTGTCCAGCTGGGGAGCAAGTGGAGTCTCTCAGTCCAGCTGGGGAGCAAGTGGAGTCTCTCGGTCCAGCTGGGGAGCAAGTGGAGTCTTGCCCCCTTGCTGGAGAGGCTGACTGTCTTGAGCCTGTTGCTGAGTAGCCAGAGCCACCCACACAGGAACCTCTGCCGCCCAGCCGGGATGTAGCACCTGTCCCATCTGTGCAGCTGGAAGCTGACACAGGCTTAGGAGGGGACATTCATCCAGTTACTTATTTTGTTCCTTACTATGAGCCATCAGTGGCTGAAGACACCGATGGTGATCTGCCCTGTGCTGCTGAGCAAGAGCCTGCTCGACCCACCAGCTAGTGAGGCAGACAGGCCTGCGGAAACAGACCCAGCTCCCTGGGAGTGCGTGGAGATGGAGGATGTGCAGATTTCCTCCAGGGGGCCATCCCAGATTTGCATGATGGAGTTAGACAGTGATGAGGAGACAGCTGGAGTGCTAGATTGGCTGCCCAAAGAGAAGGCAGATCAGTTCTCCATCATGGCCGTCGTAAGTAGTTTGGCAGGTCTGGGCATGCGGGCTTTCCTTTGCACCTCTACTGCCACACCTGCCTCAGGGCAGAGCCACGCTGACCCTTTGTTTCCTCTCTGCAGAAACTGTTCAAAAGGCTCATCCCATATCACTGTTTGAATTACGTATATTCCCAACCTGACCAGAAGGAGTGTCTGGAGCGCCTGGCACCCACTCTGCTTCCCATCCTGGAGCATTGTGAGCAGGTCTCCAGTTGTCTGATCACCACGTGCCTCGGGGAGCACAGCACAGAGGCAGCAGAGAGGGCCCAGGTGTTGGAGCACTGGATAGACGTAGCTTTGGTATGCGCAGGAGGCGGCCCCGTACCCTTCTGCCCTTTCCCACACTCACCAGGTGCTGCCTGCCCACTCACAGCCACTGCCTGAACCCTCAAGCCCTCCTTGTGCTCTGCCCTGGCTTG